TGCGCGTGCGCGTGCGTGTGCGTGCGTGTGCGTGTGCATGCGCGTGTGTGCGTGTGCGTGTGCGTGTGCGTGTGCGTGTGCGTGTGCGTGTGCGTGTGCGTGTGCGTGTGCGTGTGCGTGTGCGTGTGCGTGTGCGCGTGCGTGTGCGTGTGCGCGTGCGTGTGCGTGTGCGTGTGCGTGTGCGTGTGCGTGTGCGTGTGCGTGTGCGTGTGTGTGTGTTGTGTGTGTTGTGTGTGTGTGTGCGTGTGTGCGTGTGCGTGTGCGTGTGCGTGTGCGTGTGCGTGTGCGTGTGCGTGTGCGTGTGCGTGTGCGTGTGCGTGTGCGTGTGCGTGTGCGTGTGCGTGTGCGTGTGCGTGTGCGTGTGCGTGTGCGTGTGCGTGTGCGTGTGCGTGTGCGTGTGCGTGTGCGTGTGTGTGTGTGTGTGTGTGTGTGAGCTCAGCCCGGGGGCCTGAGTTGGAGCGTCCTGTGCGGCACGATCCACGCAAGAGACGTGCCGAAATTAACGGGGTGGGACCATGCGAATTCGGGGGCCCGAGTTGGAGCGTCCTGTGCGGCACGATCCACGCAAGAGACGTGCCGAAATTATCGGGGTGGGACCATTCGGATGCACCCGCTGAACCGTCCGTGAGGGAACAGCCATGTGCCAATGCCCCTCTTCCCCAGACCTCTCCAGGGGTGCGTTCGTACCTACCGTGGCAACGACGGATGGGGTAGCGGCATCCATACATTCTCCTCCTCCGAGACCGTCGCTGGAGATCCCTGTGGTGCAGGATGCGCGTGGAAGGGGGGGAAACAACGCAGCAGCAGTGGAGCCGGAACCACAGCAGCGGCGGGAAGGGGGGGATGAACATCGTTTCGCCGATCCCTATCCCCACTGGCATGGCCTGGGCTCCTCTGGCCGTGCTGCCCCCCTAGATGGGGACATACAGTCAGGCTATTGAAAGAAGGAGCACCGAATGAGGAACGAAGCCCCTTCCTGGAATCCACAGGGCCTGGATGCACGAGGAGGGCCAGGGGAACGACCACGGACTGACCAAATGAACTTGCGGGCCCCTTCCGAACACCCATTCGGCCCTCTAGTTCAGCGACTGAACTGCGGGCCGATCCCTTCGGGTTTCGAGGGGCCTGCCTGTCCCCTCCCCCACTGTGGTGGTGGGGTGCTGGGGTGATAGGGCTAAGATGCCGTGGCGGGGTGGGGATGGGGGTAGTATGAACGATACCTACTGAGAGGAGGAAGGCGGGAGGAGTGTGGGAGGAGGCGCGTGGCGCAGCGGAGAGAAATCGAGGGCCCAACCTCGCATCAGGAAGCAACTAAGTGGTACCTACACTCGCTCACGTCGCATGTTGATCGTAGCGTGTTCCGAACTGGCCTTCGGTTGGCTCTTATTTGGCCGCGCTGGCCTTAACACAACGGTCGCCTTCACTCCCAGCTGTCTTCGTTCTATTTCAAAAAATGCAGAAATTTGTGGAGGTGCTCAGTTCGCAAGCGCCAGCACCCCAGGAAAATGTCAGCGCCGCCTTCTCGATGACCACGGTGCCTTGCATACATCGCTCGGAATCCTCTGCAAACTTGATAGAGGCCTCCCAGATCGGGTCGGTGTAGATGGGGTCGAAGGATCGCGCCGCATCGCCAACGCATCGCCAAAGCATCGGCGATGCATCGGCGATGCATCCGCGACGCCGGCGATGTATCGGCAACGTCGGCGTGGGGAAACACGGGCTCCACATCGAGCCGCATCGCCGATGCATCGGCGATGCGGAGCGATCATCCGACCCCATCTACTCCGACCCCATCTAGGAGGTCTAGCCTTGAGACTACCCCCTCTTCACTCTCGGCCCTCGACATTAAAAAATTATACTGCAGGATAGCCTCGGCGCACCGGAATCGGGTGAGAGCCTGACACAATCCCAGTCTGCAAGCAAACCCCCCTTTTTCCACCCCGCGTTGCCTCCAGAGGGGCCCCGTCCAGCTCGGTGGCACTGGCAAGGCAACCCCGGGAGAATCTCGGGCTTGCGACGCGCTTGATCGCAGCACGAAGTCCGACGGGAATCCCCAAAACGACGTCCAGCTCGGTGGCACGTGCTGGGAAAATGCGAGGGACCGTGGGGAAGCCCCCTCAACTCCGTCAAAATCTTCCTGAGGGGACTTCAATAGGAGGTCCAGTAACTCTTACACAGAACCCTCCTAAGAAAGGTTTTTGGGGGGTACGGAGGGGATAACACTCCTAACACTTCCAACAACGCCACTGAAGAATGTTGTTGGGAGTCCAACGGGAAAACGCCATTCACCCCGCCAAAACCTCTTCCGAGGGTAGTTTTTGGGGAGGTCTGGGAGGGAACCTCCCTAACCCTTGCAAAACTCCCCCTGAGGATGGTTTCTCGGGGGGGTCCGGGAGGGAAAAAACCCTAACCCGTCCAAAACAACCCTGAGGTATCAGGGGGGGAAAGCACCCAAACTCCCTGGCAAGGGGGCTTCGGGGTCTTTTAGGGTCCAGAGGGGGTTTGGGGAACTGCCACTCCCTACTGAGATGGCTGGCTCAGGGGGGAGGGGGAACCGCTCGGCTGGAATCGGCGACGTGTCGCGGATGGATCGGCGATGCAGCCCCTGGCAGCGAAGAGCACACTCGTGGGCAGCGCGGGCTTGCGGCTCACCATCTCGGCGATCGGGGATCGAAGCATCCCGCGCCGAGCGCCGAGCCGGCCCTCCCCCCCCCACGTTGCCTCGTGGCCGTCGTGCCAAAACTTTCGGGGGCGTCCATTGGGGGCGGCCCGTCCGAGAGGTGGGGGGGGGGGGGGCGCAAGTCGTGGCCGCGGCGGCATGTGCGCGGCCGAGAGGGGGGGGGGGCCGGGGACGCATTGAAATCATGAGAGGTGCCATGAAATCTGGGGAGACATCAGTGGCCCCCGCCATGGTTCGGGGACGCGCAGACATGGATTAGCGATCCACGGATTTGGCGCGCGGTCGCCAAATCCATGGATCGGGGGAGGTGCCCTCCCCAAAGTTCGGCCGGTGCCGCCTCGCTCGG